AAGGTAGAGCACTTGAGGAAATTTGACGTGGGTGAACATGTTAGAGTTAAAAACAATAGAGATGAATTAATTAAGCATGTAAATATGGATGTGTAATTAAGATATTGGGTCCTCTTAACTATTTGTGAGTGTTGCGGGAGCCCTACGCTATTGTCCTGCCAACTCTCTGCTGGCTAGTGGTTCCTGTCAATGAAGTAAGTGGGTATAATCCAAGGGAAGTTCGTGAGAAGCAGCGGGATCCACATGTGGTAACACACCCTGTGCCTCTGCCAACGCAAAGTTTCACACCCTCTGAAACTCCAATGGTGTTCGAAAACCCCAGAGTGGGTGAACCGGTTGACAAAGATCAAATAGTCCTACCAGCTCAAAAACCCCTATTGCGAAGATCCTCACAAATAGTAAGGCCCCAGACCGTCTGAATTTATAGTTTAAAGTTAGTTGGGGGAGAATGTAGTGTACCGCTCTCTCAATCAATTACTAACATTATTCTAAAAACATTGGTTACTTATTTTTTGTATTGATATATAGGTTATGTCAATAATCAATTTTCATTGAACATTCAAAATGGCCGGCAATATGGCCGCCAAATGTATTGCTAAGTCAACGTTTTGTATTTAGAATATAAAACAATGCTTACTGTATACATTTGATTTTATGTGATTTTTAGTTAATAAATTACGGTATACATTAAATTAATGATTTTTTAAAAAATCCAAGATGGCCACCAAAAATGGCCGCCAAATGTATTGGGAAGTCAAGGTTTTGTATTAAGAACGTGAACACTATACATTTAGAGGTTCACTTGTTTTTTTTAATGATTTTTAGTTAATAAATTATACAAATTATTGATTTTCATTGAAAATCCAAGATGGCCACCAAAATGGCTGCCGATATGGCCAACAATTTTGGGACGTCAGTGTTTTGTATAGGGAGCATAAATATTGCTTATTGTGTAAATTTAGAGGTTCACTTGATTTAATATGATTTTTAGTTATTAAAATAATACAAATTAATTATTTTCATTCAAAATCCAAAATGGCTGCCAAATGTAAATAAGAAGTCAATATTTTTATATTAAGAACATAAACACTGTTTACTATATACCATTAAATGTTTATTTGATTTTATATGATTTTTAGTCAATTAATTATAAAAATTAACGATTTTTGTTGAAAATCCAAGATGGCCGCCAAAATGGCCACCAAACATCTCCATGGGACATTTTTTTTTATGGGAACATCAACAATATATAATGAGTATTTGCTGAGTTGCGCTACGGTAGCACCAAAATAGTGGCAAACTTTGTCTGCTATTTCTCAACCGACATTGAATTTTCGAAGTTAAATATTATTATACTCACCCATGACATATTGTGATCATATTGTTCTAAGTTGTTCTGATTTCTGCTTCTTTATGGTCATTGTATCAGCATCATTAACTCTGGAAGTTTTCTAGGCCCACCATCTTAGCAAGTCAGACCCACCATAGGCAGTGTGCGGTTTACTTAATAATAATAATAATTTTGGCTTATATAGCGCATTATGCTAAAGCCTCAATGCGCTTAACAATAAAAATAAAATTCGGGGGAAAAAAAATTAAGAAAAATACAAGTTAAAAAGGTGAGTTTTTAAAGCTGTTTTAAAATCATCAATGGAAGTTGCCTGTCGGATTGTATTAGGCAGAGCATTCCAAAGAAAGACAGAAGCCCAAGAGAAAGAACGACTACCATAATGCTTTGTCGACGGGCGAGTGGAATGAGCAAGTAGAGACTTTGAACTAGATCTCAGAGACCTCTTAGGAATGTAAGGATGAATGAGTTGTGAAATAAACATTGGCGAGGAATTATGAAGTGCTTTGAAAACAAATAATAAAATCTTGTAAGTAATTCTCTGTGTTACAGGAAGCCAATGAAGGTGCCTTAACACAGGAGTGATATGTTCCCTAATTGGGCTTAAAGTGACCAAACGGGCAGCTGCATTCTGAACTCGCTGAAGTTTTGAAATATCCTTAGCTGGCAATCCATAAAGCAATGAGTTACAACAATCCAGCCTTGATGTTACAAAAGCATGAACGAGAATCTCAGTTGATCTAAGATCAAGGTACTTCCGGATACTCCAAATTCTACGAATTGACTGAAGCCCGGCTTTACAGATGTTGTGTACCTGATTAGACATACTAAGGGAAGAGTCCATAACAACTCCAAGATTTCTACAGGACAGCGAAGGCTCAATGAATGCATCTCCTATTTTGATAGAAGGACTCCAGCGAGCAGGCTTAAAACATGATGAAAAATGAATGAGTTCAGTTTTTGCATCATTCATTATAAGGTTGTACTTACCTTTGCTAAGCCTACACAATTGCTTTGGTTGGATCTGATTTACATATAAATACAATGGTGTTCAATAGTAGAAGTAGCCTGGGTTCCAGGCCCTAATTTTAGGTTACTCACTCTTTATTGCACTTAGTGCGCACCATACCTAATTTAATTGGCGTCCCATACTCGATTTCCTTTTTTTTCGAATTATTCCGTTTATCTCTAAATTAACTTTCTCGTTGGTGGCGCTGTCCAGAATGAGAAAAATAATAACAAATAAGAGACTTGTGGCAAGTCTATAGTAGAAGTTGCCTGTTAATGCTAAAACTATCCAACAGGTGTTCCAGGCTTAGTCCTACTGTTTGGTCTACAATTAAATCACTTGGCCTATCTACTGTAAAACCTACTCGGAGGGGGACTAGGAAGACGAAAGATGAGGAATTTTTATTAAAAAAGAGAAATTTACCAGTCATGTTGGTCTCCTGAACTGCCGCTCTGTTTGTAACAAGGCAAGTTCTCTCTCTGAGCTTATACTGGAATCATCTTTCGACTTTACACTTTTAACTGAAACATGGCTAAAAAGTGATGACTCAAACGGAACTGTTGTTACTGACCTCTTCCCACAAGGATGCAACATTGTTTCGAAATCACGTCAGTACAGAAGAGGAGGGGACATAGCTGTTGTTTACGTTTTACCTTTCATGGTCAACCGTTTTATGTTCTTGTGATATACAGACCACGTCATGTTTCTTGACGAATTCGAGTCTCATCTTTCCGATATCGCACCATCGTGTTTACCTAACATCATTATAGCTGGTGATGTAAATCTTCATCTTGAGGATGTCAGAAACAATAATACTAACCGCTTTATCAATATCTTGAACTCATTTGGTCTGAATAATGTTGTCAATAGCGCTACACATATAAATTGACACACCCTAGATTTTATAGCTTCGTATACCACGGCTTATCAGATTGATCTGACGTCGATTGTTGACACCACACTCTCTCACCATTTCCTATTGTCTTGCTCTGTCACATCATTAAGACAGTTTACTCATATTCACCAACCTGCACGCTGGGGTCGACGCATTAATTCCATCAACTGATGATTTTTTATTTGATGTCAGCTCTGCACTTCCTGATGAACTGGAAAATGATAATACCAATGATGCCTGTGTGACAATTAACAATGTTTTGAAGTGCACACTCAATAAGCGTGCTTCATTGTTTAAAATCCCACAAAGAGCAAGATGTACTCAATCTTGGATGAACTCTGACATTCTTGCTGCATGTCGTGCACGTCGCAAGGCTGAGGGTACTTACAGAAAGTCGCAATCAACTGTAAATAACGCTAGTTTTGCTGAGAAGATAAGAATAGTCAATAAGCTCATCATTGAAGCCAAAAAGGCATATTACTCTAATCTTCTACGTCGTCATAAATTTTCCGAACTCTTGATTAACTTACTGGTAGTCATAATACTCAAGTATTGCCAGATACATTATCCCACCAGGATGCTGCTAACATATTTGCAGAATTCTTTGTTAGCAAGATCAATTCCATCCGTCTTGATCTGGATTCACTTGCCTTAAATAATGATGACATTAACGATACTGGTTATCTTAATGTTTCTTCTGATTCTGTTGATTACCATGCTTCTGGTAACTTTAGTTTCTTTCACCCCACATCTGTTCCTGAAATTCTTAACATTATTCGAAGAATTTCTATCAAAACTTATTGTCTGGATCCTCTGCCTAAGGTGTTACTTAAAACATCAACTAATTCATTATCCAAATATTTTTTCCAAATTATCAATGCAATTTTTGAAACTGGTGACTTCCCGACGTGCTTAAAAACTGCCATTGTTGTCCCTGTCCTAAAGAAAGCGACCCTTGATCATAACACTCTTAAAAACTTTCGCCCTATTTCAATGCTTTCATTCCTATTAATCACTGAACGGGTCATGTTTGAAAGGCTTAATGACTATTTCACATCGTTTAATCTATTACCTAAATTACAATCTGCTTACCGACAGTACCATAGTGTTGAAACTGCTCTCTTATGTATTGCCAATAGTGTTTGCTCTCTCTTGATAAGTCTAAAGGTGTTATCTTGGTTTTGTTGGATTTGTCATCAGCGTTTGATACAATTGATCACGCTTTATTGCTGAACACACTTAAAGAATCTTTTGGCATTTCTGACAAAGCTCTCCATTTGCTGTACTCTTACCTTGATTCTAGGTCTTTTCGTGTTAATGTTGGGTCAGAATTTTCCAACACATTCCCTTTGAAGTATGGCGTTCCGCAAGGTAGAGTACTTGGACCCCTTTTGTTTATCTGCTACACTTCTGGTCTTTCTAACATAATCACTAGACATGGTTTAAATTTTCACTTCTTTGCTGATGACATACAGCTTTGGAAACATGTTGATCTTAATAACACTACTGACATAGGCTCGACTCTTTATTCAATAGAGTCTTGTATTTCTTCTATTATCAGATGGACGACTAAAATGAAACTCAAGCTCAACCCTCACAAAACTGAACTACTTACTATATTTTTAATATCTAGAACCATTCACCCTTTTCCCCCAATTCAGATATCCGTAGAAGGTGTCAATATACCGTCGTCAACTACAGCACGAAATTTAGATGTACTGTTTGACAATCGGTTTAACTTTCAAAACCACATTTCATCTATCTGTAAATCTGGATATTTTCACCGTAGACGAATTCGATCTATTCGTCCATATATTTCACGCTCCGCTGCTGAAGTATTTGTCCATGCTTTTATCACCTCTAAAATTGATTTCTGTAACTCTTTATTGTATGGGACCTCTATTTTCAATTAAGACCCTTACAAAAGCTTCAAAACTCAGCAGCACGTGTTGTCTGTCTCACTAAACTTCGTGATCATGTTTCAACTATCCTCAAAGACCTTCATTGGCTACCGATATGTAAACGCCTAAACTTCAAAATTATTCTTCTCACTCATAAATGCATATATGGCTACGCCCCACACTATCTTTCTTCATCAATCTCACAACAGTTATCTTCACTTTCCACAAGACGGTCAAATTTTCTCAGGTTATCTGTCCCCAGAGTGCTGCATGTTCGTACTGGCGAACGGTCTTTCTCTTTTACTGCTCCGAAATTATTGAACTCTCTTCCACCTAATCTTAGATCAACTTCTGATACTAATGCATTCAAGACCCTCCTTAAAACCTATCTCTTTAATCAATAATTCTTTCATCTTTAAGCGCCAGTGACAAAAAATTATTTTTTTTAACAGGCGCTATACAAATTCTCCAATTTATTATTTATTTATCAAAATTCTTTCATTAGACACTTTGAGGATTACAAAAATGTTAGTTAAACAAGTATATCCTGGGGGTGCATGGGAACCCCTTGTTTCTACGTTAACCAATCATTTCGGTCCCGCTTCGTTTCGGTCGCGCCTCATTTCGGTCGCGGTTTATTTCGAACAAATATATGGAGCGCCGAAGGAGTTGCGAAAACGCAAATTGAATATGCCTAGGCCCTATATATTATTATAATTAGTTTGTCCATCAGTTTATCATAGGCCTAAGTATTTTTTTTTATTTCCGTTTTGCTATCTTTCTACTAACAACATTTTATCTTTCTACTAACATAGAAATTTACGGTGATATATTATTCATGATCGAAACATGATCTTATGATTGAAACATTGGAATTCAGTATGTGCTTCATGCTATTAATTTTCCTTGATAGGCCTACCCCTAAATATGAATATATATTTATGTATGATTTCATAAGCATATAGAATATTCCTAGAAACAATTATATATATATATAAATATGTATATATATATATATATGTCTATATATAGGCCTATATACACATACATACATATATGTATTTATACATATATAATATTATATATAATTTATACATATTTACTTACATTACACACAAAATCATATAACAAATATACATTTTCCTATCCATTTATTTATTTTTTATAAACATGATCAGCAGCCAGAGCAGACGATTCGATGTTACTGGTTTCATGAAGTAGGTGAACACACGTGAAGTGGTGAACTGTGCTCCAGCTCACGTGTTTGTACCTAGAAATAGCTAGTCGTCTATTTTAGCATCTGACCTACTTCTGTCTTAGCAGTAATGTATCAAAAATGGAAATAAAACAAACAAGAAATCACAAACCTTGTGTCAGCTTCGCCTTAACAATACCATGGGAATCAATTTGTGGAAATAGACCTATTAAGTTGAGTGATTTTCTCTGGCTTATGAATATAAAAGAAGCATGAAACGGCTTTCAAAATGTACAGCATGCAATTATAAATGTATTGACAATTTTATATGGAAAATATAAATATGAAAATATATATTTCCTTTACTTTATTATTATAAACATAAACGGAACATTTATGGTAAATGGAAACGTAACAGACAAGAAAAAAACGTATGCGAAACTAATCTATTGACTATACTTATTCCATAAATCTTAATTTGATTCAAGCATTAATAATAAAAATTATACCAATATCACAAAAAAAAAAAAAAAAAAAAAAAAAAAAAAAAAATAGCACCAAGCGATACAGTAATATAGTAACAAATAGGATTTTGCAAATAGTACAGGACTGCCAGGTTGTTCTAACCGTTATAGTATGTTAAGTGATGAATTTATCGAAATTGACGAAAATAATGATAGTAAATGTATTACTTCCAATATTAAAAATCAAGAAAAACGTAAAGTAAGATGCCGCCGTGGAGGTAAGAAAAGGAATGTTCACAATTGTTCTTGTCATAATGTTTTCTCTATTGCTTTTAATAATGTAAATAGATTAACAAAATCCCGATTCTATGAAATTGAACAATACTTATATATAAACAAAGTTGACTTACTTGGTATATCTGAAACTTTTTTAAATAATACGGGTATTAATTATTTAAATTTTAAAGTTAATGGATATGAATTCAAATCAAAAAATAGAAAAGAAAAGGATGGGGGTGGGGTTGGTATTTTTATTTCTAAAAGACTATCAGTGATTTCTGAAAATGTCTTAGACTCCATGAACGACCAAGGGAGGGCCTTCCTGTAAAAGTTTTTGGAAAGCTTTACGTGGTAAGAATGTTGAGGGTGGCAGCATGGATTTTGATTGCATCAAAATTCCTGGTTCTGAGTAAATTACATTTGATAAGGAAAAATTGTTCACAGTGTTAAAAGTTACTGGGAAAACCTTGGAAAAGGCAACATGAATTTAAATGATTGTAATTCTTACTTGACTAGTCGTTTCAATAAACAAATTAGAGATAATCTTTCTTATGAATATGATCACCAATGGAACGAAGAATTTTTATGTGATATTGTTATTAATACTGATATGATTAAAGAGGCAATTTCACTTTCAAAAAATAATAAAGTCCTTGGCTTAGACAGTATAACCAATGAATTACTTAAAAATGGAGGTCACTGTATTATAAAAAGCTTACTTATACTTTTTAACAAAATTATTGAATTTGAAGAAATTCCTAAAGACTGGAATAAATGCATTATTATTCTTATTCATAAGAAAGGTAGCCGCAGAGACCTGGATAACTCGAAGGTATATCTCTAACTTCTTGTGTTTCAAAAATATTGAACCGTATTTTATCATTTAATAACTCTAACTTCCTTGAAGGAAATGATACCTTTTCGGAGGTCCAATGAGGTTTTCGTACAACATATAGATGTGATGATCATATTTTAACTCTCAAAAACGTGGCAGCTTGTCGGCTAAATGAAAACAAACAAACTTATATGGCCTTCTTGGACTTTCGAAAAGCTTTTGACATCCTTTGGCGAAATGGCTTACTTAAAGCTGTTTGGTTATCGGGTATTAGGGGAAAGATTTTGAGAAAGGTTGATAAACTTTATGCAGAGGTAAATAATGGTATAATTAGACTAGGAGATACAGACACAGAACTCTTTGAGATTGAACAGGGAGTAAAGCAAGGCTGCGTCTTATCTCCAATCTTGTTTAACATTTTTATGAATGAATTTAAAAAGATTCTTGTTTCAAATGATCTAGGTATCAGAGTGAATGACACGTGGGTAGGGGGATTATTCTGGGCTGATGATGTTGTCTTATTAGCAAATAATGAGCATGAAATGACAAAGATGCTCAATCTTGCAACATTATTTGCTAAAACATGGAAATTAAATTTTAATTTCGACAAATCTAATATTCTAATTTTCTGAAAAAGAATTGATAAAGAAAAACAATGGAAGTTAGGTGATGGTTTCATTTGGAAGTGGAGACATACAAATATCTTGGGGTTAATATATCCAGGAAACTAAATGATAATGTACAATTCCAGAATGTAATTACAAAGTGCAATAGACTAATTGCTTATATTAAATCATTGATTGATAACTGATATAATTTTAATAGGATATACTATGGGGATATTTTATGGAGAACAATTGGTCTCCCATCTATAAATTATGGTTCAGCTGTATGGTGTTCCCTAATTAAGTCAGATATTGACAAACTTGAACAATTACAATTGCAGATGACACGCTATATTCTTAGAGCAACTAGAAATACACCACGTGGAACTTTGTATGGTGAACTTGGCTGGCTGCCAATTAGTGTTATGCACGATATTTAGTGCAACAAAGTATTTTCATCGCATTATACATATGGAATCACATCGGTGGCCAAAACTTTTACTTAAGGCTTTATTACACATGGATAGTAACTTTGATAATTTCCGTTTTAAATTTCTTAAATGTGTTTCCAATGTTTTCTCAAAATGTGAATCAGTAAATTTATTTAAATTAATATGTGATACCATTGATTATCCCATCGGAAATTGGACCAACTTCATTTTGAATAAACTTAAAGAACAAGCTTGTACTGATTGGAGAAGTAATCTTGATCAAAAATCTTCCCTTTCAGATTACTCAATTATTAAGGAAAGCCCTTGCCTAGTAAAATATTTACTTGAAACTACAGATTTTGAGGGTGCTTGCATAAAATTTAAAATACGCTCCAATACTTTATCGTTACAAAGACGAATCTCAAGTTGGTCCGATAATAATTATGGTATTTGTTCTATTTGTAGCTCTTATTCAATTGAAGATATTAGACATTTTCTTTTTTCATGTCCTTCCCTCCATAACATCAGATTGGAAGAACTAGCAAAGCTTGAACATGAAATAGTAAATACAAATAGGCCTATATGAAACCAATTTATAAATTCAACAACTGATCAGAAGTTAATGTATGTTCTTGGCTCTTTTTCACTAAATCTTCCAAAAGAAATTGAAGAAAAATTTGACAAATTTTGTAAAAGGTATGCTACAAGGGCATGGAAAAAGAGAAATGAGATCAAAAAAGAAAACGAACGTTTTTTATTTTAGTCCTGTATTACTTTATGACTTTTGATTTTAATACTTTTATGTGCTTCTGTGTTATCTGGCCTGATATGTGTGCTTCTTGTGTGATAAGTGGTGTAGTATAGAGTTCAGTATGTACTGTATGTCTTTATGTTTATAATTGTGAGTACGGTACAGTCATGTGACTGGGTATACAGTTGTGTATGGATATATATGTACTTATGTACTGTGTATTTCATGAACGTTTGGTTGGTGTTTGTATAATTGTTCATGTGATTGTTTGCATCACTTTATTTTGCCTTAAGTTTTTTTAGTTTAAGATTGCTTTTAATTTTATATGACTGAACAGTTTTTTTTTTTACATTTCCGTAATGTCCCTTTTGAAAATTTGAATTGTCTTATTCTTAGCATAAGTCTTTTTTTGTGAACTTTACTGTAAATATTGTTTTGGACGCACCTTCTATTGAGAAGTGTGCCACTGATTGAAAAGTGTAGTTCCTCATAAATTATTATTTACTAATAAAAATAATTGTTTATATACTGATGTTACAGTAATTTAAATATCGAGTTGGCTGGTTTTTCCTGATAAAAAGTTTGATTTTTATAAATAATATCATATCAAAAAACAATACCGTACTAAGAGAAATACCAAATTTTTAGTATTCATTTTATTTGCTTTATTTGTTATGTAGTAGGAAGCGTAGGATCGATAACAAAAAACCGTCCGATAAAAGAGTAAAAATTACTAAAGCGGCACTGGAATGACAAATAATATATCACTTGTTCTCGACATGCATTAACGGCAGTTCTTAAGCGAAATTAATTAGAATTAACTTTAAAATGTTTACATTTTTTTAAATATAGGTAACATGACTGCATTCAGCGAATCAGTATGGTCTCCTGACAAAGGAAGGAACAATGGAAGGGACATGCAGTGGGGCGGGGGAACTCTCTTTGTTGACAAAAAAGAACTGGCTGACACCAAATCTGGTGGACGTAGAAAACTGTCTGAACGTAAGGCAATTCCAGTTGTGGACTTGTCTAGATGGATAAAGGAAAATACCAGAAAAGAAGACTATGTGATTTTAAAATTAGACGTTGAGGGAGCTGAATATAAAATTTTAAAAAAAATGCTGGAAGAGGGAACCTTTGCATGGATCGATAAGTACAATATGCATTACTATTATTATTTATTTTTACTGCTTTTTATATTTTTTAGATATACCATATTGTCATATATATGAATTCTACACAATTTTCATTATTTGTTATTTATTATTAATAATAATTGCTTATAATATAATTCATATAATTGTTGAAATAAAGTTATTTAAAATACATTATAGTCAAGCTTATTGAATGATTCAAGTTTTAAAAATAATTCTATCTAGAAATTAGTAATCACTACTAGAACTTTGGATAGGGGCTACCAATATATAATTACAATACAATACTGTACAATTATTAATACACTTAATTATTAATACAACAATAAAACATTTAATACAATACTGTATATTATAATACAGTACAATTAATATATTGGCCTTGTAGTTTTGCAGGAACAAATTCATACAATTGTAATGTCATGGCTAGCCGGCCGGCATAATTACTCGGTAACCGGGAACACTATTTTAAACAGTGTCTATATATGTTGATACTGTATGAATATATATTTTTTTAAAGTTTAATTAATTTATATTTTTAATTTTCATTTGTGACCAATGAATTTTACATTTCAAATTGTTGATGTTTATTAATGTTTATGATGCTTGCAGTTTCTTAGTTTGTTTGTATGGATTTGATGTATTTGGTTTCCTTTAATTTTTGTACTGCAATGATTTCAAACTTGTTCTGCTTTTTGTAATTTTTACCGTTTACCTGAATAAATAATAAAAATACATAAATAAAAATTTATACCACAATACCGTTTATGTGGCCGGGGATATTATCCTAACAGTCTAATGGCTGGGGACATAACTGTCGTAATTTATTGTCTCTGTGTCACATGACTATTTTCGTTACAGTTATGTGGCCTAATGGTATTTGGCCGGGTAATGATCAATTATTTTCACTTGAAGCGTTTTGTTTTCACAGGTATTACGGGGAATACCATAGTAATCAGCCAGTTGGGCTCTCTAGTGATGAGAAAGGCAAAATAATCAATAATGTAATGACTAAAGGGGAAAAAATGTATGATTGGGGAGCAGAGAGAAGGAATTACGCAGATTTTGAAGCTCTCCATCCAACAAAGGTAAATTTTTTACAAGACACAAGCTTCCTTTGTTGTCAAAAGTATGTTCTGATTATATATTTTTTCACCTATATCCTCTGACCATAGAAATTCTCCAGTCTTTCTGTATAAATTTAACGATTAATGAATGAGATGATGAAAGTTGTTGGTGGTGATAATTACGACGACAGCAGGCCCGTAACCAGCTTTGGTAATGGGGGGATCTTTTTCAATCTGATTGGAAGTTTTGGGGTCCAGGGGTTCTCTCGAAAAATGTTGAAAACCATTCCAAATGCTCTTCTGGTGTTTTTGAGTTGCTTTCAAATGAATTTTCGTGAATTAAAACTGAATCAATTTGATATGTGCAAATATTGAAGGATCGGAAGTAGGCTATAATACAATGCAATATTTTTAGTAGATCAAATGTAGTAGGAAGTCTACAGATAGGATTATATCATATACATCATAATCATCATCATCTTCTACTGTGCAGAACGTTTTTTGAGTATAGTCGCACATAAAAACTAGTGCATGTCATAGGCTTATATAAGGCCAAGGCACACATTGACAAGTGCATATAAATCGCACGAAGTTGTGTTTTGTGTTGGTCTAGTAGAGCGGAACTCACTATTTGCAGGCGGGGAGGTGTGGTTTTGGCAAGGGCGCAGATCTGTTTCTGAAGGTGAAGGGGACATTTTGTGAGTCCACATCCACCTCAGGCACACCATGGTTGGGCTTGAGGTTTGACAATTTTATGAAATAGTTAGCTGTAGATGACTGGAAATGAAACTTTTTTTTATAGTAAAATTCATCGTCATCACATTACTACTATATAGTCAAAATGACGTTTTACCAGCAATTTTCAGCAACCATATATTATATCTAATGTGATGTACTTTAGAAAATAAAACTTTTGATGTATTTACTTTTTATCTACCTACTTCAAAGCTTAGTCCACACCTAAGGGCTGAGGCGGGAAATTTGGGGAAATAGTACCTCTAGATTGCCGGAAATGACACTCTTATAGGGAAAATTCATCATTTTTCATTCATGGATTTTTATTCAATATTATCAAATTACAGGACAGAAACTCAATTGATGTGATCATTTGAGTTTCTGTCCTGTAATTTGATTTAATGTACTGTCTAATTTTTTGATATATCCATGTTTAAATTTGATTTAATGTTGATGTGATCAATTTAGTTTACATTTCTTTTTACTCGTTTTTACCTGTAATCGTGTAATTTCGCTTTTTAATGTACTGTTTTAATGACCCCAACCAGGGCAATGTAAATAATGTGCAATTTAGATTCGTCTACAATACATTATACTGCCTTCTGTTCCCCCGTTATTTATTTATTCACTTACTCATTTTTTATGGTAATTTTGTTGTTTTTATGACATAATTGTAATTTTAACTTTTTTTGCCTGAATTTTGTATATTGAATATTTGTATATCGAATTAATCGTTGTGATGTTCCATTGAAAATAAACTCAACTGTCTTTGATGTATTTTTAATTTACTTTACCTACTTTGTACTTCATGTGCCGAAAACATTACTACAGGTATTATTATTATTATTATTATTATTATTATTATTATTATTATTATTATTATTGTTATTATTATTATTATTATTATTATTAATAATACACGTTTTTATAAGGCCTATTATAAGTAATTCAGATGTTTGTGGGCAGAGATAGAGTACCTGTTGTAGCACCATTTCGTTAAAACATGGGTCATCAATGCAGTTCATTTCAACAATTTTCAGACATCTTTTTGACTTATGAAATTATTACATTGCGGATATAATAATATTTGGGGACGTATCCCCCTGTCCTCCTTGATCATGGATTTTTGGAAGGGCGTCCCCTTCCGTTTGAAATGTTTTTGGAATTAGTAAACGGCTAGACGCTCTTTGATTACATCTGAAAAGAAGTTAAGCTTAAAGATTTATTGTCCCTTGCTAATGTAAAAAAAATCATTAAAAACAAAATGATTTTGAAATAAACTTGCTCATATTGCAATAGCATACAAATTTTTAAATTGTGCGTAAAAATTATTGAATTTAAAAAATGTGTACTCTAATTTTTAAACTAAAAAATTATAATAAAAATAATAAAATACTTCCATTGACTGGAAGTGTTTCTATCATTTTTCGCTGTAAACTGATGGGAAGACATTTTTTAAATACACTAATTTCTATGTTCAAGTTGATAATTTTTTATGTTACTTCAAAATGGTTAAGTTAATTTCCAAAAAATATTTTTATGATTTTTTTTTTGTTATTTAGCATGGGACATACATCTTTAAAATAGAAAGTGTATGTTTCACGAGAGTATACATGTACAGTACATGAGAAGTACACACACAAGACAAGTGACTATTTTTTTACAGTCACCCTTCACCCCCTCTAGATCCGCCACTGACGATGTTGAATAGGCCTTCGACCGCGATGTTAATGATGATATCATAAAACCTGCCAAGTAGAAAGAGCAGCTGTGAGCTCAGGAGGTAGCAATGACTTTATACAAGGGGAGTCCAGCGAATATATTTTTAGTGAAGAGAAAAGAATAGGCATGCTAATAATATTAACCCAGCTAACAATTTAACATTAAAAAACAGTATAATACCAATGGGAGTGGGAGGGGGAGCCTGCGTGAGATTAAGTTCAAATGTTTAATCTGAGTGGCATTTCTGGCCCACTAGAAGTGCCATAGACATTAATCTTCGTCTGGACACAATCTCTACAATTGAATTTCTGGGCCTCCTCTATTTCGAATTCCTTAATTTGGATCTGCTACTGATAAAAAGTAAAAAAGTAGGGAACCACTACTGTAGGCTACCTTCTACCTATATTATTGGGCCGTAGCTAGGGCCTAGCTAGGCTATTCCGCGGGTGTCCGACTAGCACTTTTTTAAATTATTATTTTGACAATGATTGTACTGTATTGTTTAATGATAGTAATAGCATGGACCTATTTTAAATAGGAAAAACCTATTCTGACGTCGTATCAATGATACCAATTTTACTAGCACCGATAAATCAGAAAGTTGTATATTGTAATCACGTTCATATCACCGCCAAACGTTTCAAAAATCTTTGCGGCAACTATTGATCTTGAAAAATAATTCGCAGGCGGTCAAGTGCCTCGGGAAGTGCCTCCGATTATGGATCAGGGGACCAAAGGCCTTGGTAAAAATGATTCTGTTCTCATGCTCTGAAAGATTAATTTTAGCGGTTTTCTATTATATCCTATAAAAGTAAGCATAGCAAGGTCCTACCTTCAAACGATGACAATGAAATGTAAATTATAATGTTTTTGTATAATCCAGATACCTGAAGAGGCTCCTGGTAAAGCAGGGGCTGTATACAGTAAATGTAACACCTGTCTCTTATAC